TCAGCCAAGCCTTGATTTTATTGATGTTGCCATGATAAATATGTATAGAAAAACTATATATATTTATAGGTACATGCTTGTGTATATCGTGTCAACTGCACAAGCAGAAAAATTGAGTTTGACTTTCATCAAATCACGTGACATGTCCTGAATATAGAGCACCCAAAAATTTATACGGCTTCACACATCAACTCCCCAATCTATGCAAATAAGTCGAGCAAATAGGAGGAGGGTGGTGGAGAGACCACCAAAACCAGTCACATACCGAGATTTATGCGTTTTTCATATTGACAAGGCTTAAACAATAGACTCTTTGCTGAATTATTTGCCCTTCTGCCATGGCAACTGTCGTTTATTACACTCTTCTCTGTCGTTGGCCATAAAAAAAGGCAAACCATTAACTTACATTCACCAAACTATGCTTAATGAAGGCCCGATAAAAATAGACAGAGACTTTAATATCTTTGTACAAGTCGATTTTTAAAGGTACAATATAGTAAGCATTAAAATTGTAATAAAGCTTCCTTTGAAGCAACTTTTTTATTGTCAAACTTAAAGTTTTTATTAGTTACAAAACTTCTCTGCTGATGACAAAGTTTCTTAGCTTAAATTTCTTCTTAACTTCAAGAAATGCATAATTTGTGTTACTTTTAAAGGAGATCTCTTTGCAGATAGTCATTCCCAAACAAATTTTCACTCTCTGCGCTGTAATTTCAGGTAATTTAAATTGGGTTTCAGTCATAACCTGAACAATTATGCTATAGGCCCAGACTTAAACCTAATGATGTGGTTCAATTTCGTAGGAAAATCGTGCCAAAGCGGCAATCTTGGCTTTAATTAAGGTTCAAACCGACCAAAGTTGGGACAACGCCTTAATAATAAAACACAAAAAATAGAAACCAAAAAAAACCAAAAAATGTTTATAAAGAAATGTTCACCGAAACGTTCAGAGACTGGGCTAAAGATATGGCTAGATATGGTACAGGCCGCATTCAGTTGGACGACTTTCGCCTTGTCCATGCAATTTGTATAAGCTCTAAATGATTATGGCCAATAAATCTGCACAAAAATAAAAAAAAACAAAATCATGTACTGAGAAACTGGTTAGGGTAGAAAGCCAGAAAAAACCAGGGACACCGCCCAAGCTGACCACTGACCACTGACTGACCACTTATAGCCGCCGTATCTGCGGATGATATGTAACCCAAGTGGCTGGGGACGTGCATACAGGTAAAAGTGATTTGTCTCTCTCCACAGCAAATATATATCCAAATAATCCAATCGTGTTTTGGTTGCTTGTTGCGTGAATTGAGGCGCCGGCTTCCGACAGCTTGTCATGCAAATGAACTGCTAGTCGATCCTTTCGAGTGGGAAATTGGACAGCAAACATGGCATATGGAGAAAATATCACCTGTGTTGGCCATCTACATATATTGAATATGTATTAAATACTTTTTAAGTGGCTTAACAACATGGGAATAAACATGGGAGACTTTGATTTAACAGCAGCTTGAACTCGGAGTGTTTTTAGGGAGCTGTTTTTACTGGACTATATTTATAAAAGTGTTAAAATGCCTTCAAATTTACAACAAAAAAATACTTTGCTTGCTAAATATATTATATTGTTAAAATTAATAAAAATAAACATTTTTTAGAGCTAATTTTATGTATAAATATTAAGAGTTTATTAATTTTAATAAATATATAAAGCATAAAAGACAAATTTCTGAATTCTTTTCATGAAAAAAAAAAAAATTTTAAGGTATTTTTAGAAAATGTATACCAGTTGAAAGTTGACGAAATATTAATAGTGTATCGATATTTCACCGATATATATCTCGAAATTGAAAACTATTTTCTACTTGATGTAACAAATTTAAATTTAGTAATTAAAAACAACATAAACAAATGATTTATTCCGCTATTTTTCGATAATATCAATATTTTAACTTTACATCCGATAATTTTCGATATTTTCAAATTTTAATAAAGCAAACTCTGTCTTAGTTTTGATATGAAAGTACGACTTTTTCTTATTATAAAGTACATATATATATTTATACCTGTAATAAAGTCATACATATTCTAAATAGTTTTTTTTTTTTTATTTCTTGTCTCTCCAGTCAGCAATGCTCAACTTTCTCAGCAAAGTCAGCGATTCTCCCACGTTGACACCTCATACCAAAAGACAGCAAAGCAAAATAAACAAATTAGTTGTAATGAGATGGGACAGTCTGGCCACTAGGGCGCTTCAAAAGTAAGTGTAGTCATCAGCATTTGGTCAGCTTTTCCAAAGATTTTCACTTTCACGGGCCGGCGAAAATCTTCGACCCACTTGGATTCTTGATTACCAACGCGACTGAGAGGCCTGCTTTCATTTTCATTGAGCAAAAAGCGAAACAGAAACGGAAAAATAGTGGAAGTGGATCTGGTGACAGATACGCCAACGGAGGAGAGACACCAAAATAAAAAAACACCTGGTTTGGCTGGCCTGGCCTGTGTACAGGTTGCTTAACCCAATTTTCAGCGATATCTGTTCAGGCCTGTGGGCTAAGCCAACTACGCAACTGTATTGCTTTTTTGCAAAAACAAAAAAAAGATTACTACAAATAAAACCAACTGCTAGCCGATTGCATTGAGGCGGCCTAAACGCATTTCTGTGGCATTTCAGACAAAAACTAGACTTAACTAAAGTAAAGCAATGCTGCGGTATGAATTGCACCTGTCAGTGGATATCTGGAAAAATGAATGTTGCACAAAAAAGGGGGTAATATCAGGCAATACCCATTAAGTGCAGACAGAAAAACGCTTCGAATTAACTCAATTACAAGGGAGTCTAAACCACATAATTTGGATTGGTTAAAAAACGTGTTAAGTAGCTTAGGCATTAGTGTAAATGCTGCTTATGTTTAATTTTATACTTTAAAGTTTCTCATAAAATCCTAAATTTAAAAAATATATATGATTTCAAGAGTCTAAAAATTGTAAATATTTTATTTATATATGGAAGTGTTCTATTACTTATATAAAATCATTTATAGACTCTCTAAACTGTATAAATAAATTAAATGCATCAGCAAGAACACTCAATTTATTTATAGAATATCATATAACCATATTTAATTGGTGCTTTGACCCTGCTCTCTCTCTCTCAATCAAGCTTCAAACGGATCTCCTATACACACAAAAATATAAAACCCATCTCAGCTATTTTTAAATAATACATCTCCTCTCCTAGGAACCCATCATACCCGAAAAACGTTTAAATTTTAGAAATGTTTGTGGTCGCTGCCCAGACACGCGTCGTATAATTCAATTTAAGGCCTGTCTGACTGCCATATTAAGCTTAAATAAATTGGTTTTTGGCACACAACAAAAAATAGCAACACAAAATGTATACAATGTTTGTGTTATTTGCTAAATCGATAGCTTTTGTTTATAATTTTAGGCAAACAGCAGCACAAATTCTGAACAAATAATGCCAGGGTTTAAATGAAAAACCCTTCCGCCGCAGGCGAATTGAGGCCACCCAAAAATAAAATGAATTGAAGCTTCATAAATCAAAGATTAAACGCTTAATTAATCTTGCTCACTCCCAAAGCGACGCAGAATATGTAATAAATGAAGAGACCAAGTTTTAACTGAGCGTAAAATAAATAAATTAAAATCCAGAAGACTGCTCTGATGATGATGTCATGGAGCCCAGAGAAAGGGGAAAACCAACAAAGCCTTTAATACTTGGATAAACAGAAATGGCAAAACACTAAAAAACACTTGAATAATATGCAACTTGGCAAACAACATTAACGTCATCATCATAATTATTATTTATGGTTCTCATATCATATCAATGCACAGTCTTGTTTCCCACCAAAACGGTGTGTATCTCTCGGATCTTGCCTGGTCACATTTGTATCTATCGAATGGCGAGACCCTCTGATCATCCATTGAAATATCAACGTGACACTAAACTCAAGTCAACTCAACTCATTTACAGTTATTTGCAAATGATTATTGTGCTTCCATAGAGCGAGTATAAGTATCTACAGGTTGGATAACTAGACAGAACGTGTGCGAGATATAGTATCTTCTACCTTTTTTGAGTTGTATAAGCGTGTCAGCAGGAGTGACACGTCAAAGCGATTGCATAAAGCAAAGGTTCTGTAATGTAAATTGCAAGGGAAACGAGAATTTCATGTGCAATCAGTGGAAAGCAGCACAAAAAAAAATATATGAAAATATTGACAGGGAACATATAGTATTGTAAATAAGAGCGTTGTGAAGGTGACATGAAAGTGGAAACGCTGTGACAATATCAGCTTAATAAGCCTTTGTTAATCTCAAAAATCATTGGAAAAGTTGTATAATTTATAAACGAGAGCAATAATTTAATAGTTTATTATATATTCGTTTGGATTAGGTAATTAATGTATTCTTAAAATATTTTAAGCCCAAATACCAAACAAACTTCTTAAATAGCCAAAAGTTATATCTTTTCCTTATACAAAAACCACTTCCTTTCAACTGGTTCACACAATTTTCATAACAAACCGCTTGCATAAATCAAAGTGGCCCCTTTTCGGTTTGAAAAATTCTGCTGCTACTCAATATGCAATTTAAAAATTCCCAGAATTTTCTGCCCTGACAGGTAGAAGCCAAAAACCAAAACTGCTAAGCAGCAGCAAAAATCTAAAAACAAAGAGCTACAAACAAAGAACGTTGAAACATCGTAAATTATGTCAGAGTGTTTGAGTTAAACTACAATTAGAACTCCCACGGAGGAGGGGCAAGAGACGTGTGCAGACTCATTTGAGGATTTTAAACGAGTTTCCAACCCGTTGCCGGCTAATTATTATTAGAGCCGTAAACGGAATTCAAGATCTTGTGCCTTGAAATCGCAACGATAATGGAAATGAGTAGCACATAAAATTACGCAATGAAACTTTCAAGTCTCGGAATGGGTTTAAGTCAAATGATTTTTATTTTATTTGAGAACTCACCGTTTCCGTTTTAGGAGGAGAACCAACTGCAAAGAAAAAGATCATAAAAATACAAATATTAATATTAATTTAATACAAAATTAGTTGACAAAGAATAGGAATTAATATAAACTGCGTCTGCGACTGGCACTGAAAAGATTTATCTGGGAGAAATTGCGCATTGTGTGAGGCGAAAAAAGCGGAAGCCTAGATACGAAATGAACTCAGCTCTATACTACATATAATGTATGTATTATATTTTCCCGGGCAGCAAACTCAAATCAAATGACGACAATCTCTAGACAAGTTCAAGGTGAAGCCGTCTGCCTCACTCACTGATTTATTTTTTCGTTGTTTTTTGTTCATTTTCAATTAAATTCACGGAAAATTTAAGTGTTCGCTGGGAGCAAAATTGAATCGTTTGCGCTCCGTTGGGCTGACCTACCGCAGTCATAACCCGGCCGAGCCGAACACCCCCCCTTCGTATTGCAATCTTCTCTGGGTATTAAATTTCCAACTCATTAAAATTTTGCACACTGTCTGGATGGAGTGGCAGCAGAGGATTGGACCCAGGGACTGAATATGGTTAAGGGTTGTCCTTGTTCCTGGGATCCCGCTTCCTCTCTGTTTGCCCTTGCGCTTTTCTCCAGTGGAGAGAAAATGGGGGAAAAAGGCAAACCGAGATGTGAAGGCTTGTCATTCATAAATGAAGTGCATAAAAATGCCTTCAACTGATGTGAGAAACGTGCAGGCGGACATATTTATAAAGAGTCAGGGGCCTAGAGATGGTCAGAAATGGAGGGAAATATATCGAAGTAATTATCGGAGCATTTCTTTAATCGAACGATAAAAAATTGCACACTATAAAATTTAAATTATGTATTTAAGCTTAGGAATAATCCTTTATTTAATTTCTGTTTACTATTATAAAATTTGTATATCGATTAAAATCGATATCATATTTATTATTTCATGAATTCAGTATATTTATAGATATATTAACAAAAATATACTACCCAAAATAAAATGTAGTAAAATGTATTATATACCATTTCTCTTCAGTTCCCCACTTTAAGGATTTCAGGATTTTTTTATACAAATCTTCATCCTTACCATCCCTATTTCTCTCTCTTTCTCTTTAAACTATCCCTCTCTTTCCATGGCACCCAATTATTCATGTCTGAACTTAATCAGAACCTTTTGACTTATCAATTAGGAATTCTAGGGTGATTCACTTGCCGCTTTAATTGATATCAATTGTTCAGGTTCCGGAAGGTCGCCCGGCAACGGAAGTACAAATTATTTACAGAATCTTATCTTATCCGCTCACAATCTGCGTCATATATACTACTTATATAGTCAGAAAGCATATATTGTAAATTTGGTGAGCCGCTAAAATCGAGAGCTTGCGTCAGTTCGTTGGCTCTCAACCCACGCGGAGTAAATAATAAACAATGAAACGAATACGATTCCGAGTTCGAAACCCAAATTGCGCCAAATTGAGCGTCAAGTGAACGAGATAGAGATACATTGAGTAGAAAAACCTCATAATTGGACGGGGTTCCTATACCAAAAGGTCAGCCAAGCAATTGGCAAACCACTCGGACAAAACAAAACAAAAAACAAGCCAGCTAAGAAAACAAACTGTTGAAAAAATAAAAACAAAAAGCTAATGACAAAGCGAAGCAATAAAAATTAGAAGTTTGTGGCAAGATTAAACGTTGTGTCTTGAGTGTGCGCCCTAAGGCAAAAAGGGTATAACCAGATTTCTTAGGAAGTTGGCAATGAGGAAGAAGAGCTAACCGGAAAGTACAGATTATATTTAAACTAAGTTGGGAAAACTAAATCAGGAAGAGTTGAAGCTTTAATTGTATTGCAAATTGTATAAAAAGATTTGAAATACCCTAAGATACAAACTTTTTTAAGTGAGTTATAATGGAGGTTTGTAGGAATTAACTAATTATATTTATTTAAATATTTATTGGAGAGTTCTATGCTTTATTGAAGGTTAACTACTTTTATAGCTTTAATGTAGATTGATTTGGCATTGTTTCTAAGGAAATTAGTCTAAATTTTAAGCTTTTTAAGTCAGAAAATAGCTCTTGATGAGGAAGAATAATTTATGAAATAAATTTTTGAAAATTAAATATGTTCTTAGAGAGGGTATTTAAAATTCTTCTTATCTAAAGTACCCCTTATTTTCCGCTTCCATTTTCTTCAGTTAGGTTTTCCTCAGGTTTTTTTCCAAGCCATTCTACTTGTTTCGCTTCGTTTTCTTGTTTTTACTTTTATTTTTTGGAACCACGACAGCTACTACAACGACGAGGACAAGCCCTTTTTTGCTGTTGTGCGTTCGTTCGACTTGTTCTTCTGGGGCGTTTCTGGAAGATTGGGGTGGGAAAACATTTAACTTGGCTAAAAGCGGCATTAGTGCGATGTATGGGGCGTGTTCCGGCCCCGAAGGGAAGGCGGCCAATTAATTTTTTAATGGCTTAGACGAAATGACTGACTTTTGGGTTATTACAAAAGGAAACGACAAGAAAAGCACGAGGCGGAAAAAGTTTTTCTTTCAACGGTTTTGGAAATTGTCAATTAGCAAAGTGCCTGCCAAGAATTGGCAATTTTTAAACTCCTTCGGGCCAAGCCCACACGCCCGTTCTACCATTCTTCGGCATCATGGAATCTGTAATTGACTGGGACTTGCATTTTTATCATGTTTAATCTAATTTCTGTTTAACGATCTGGGCATTTTTTACGCCGGTCGTTTGCCTAACGACCCAAGCTCACTGAAATAAGTTAACCGCAAAAAGATTTTGCCCCTGGGCTTGGTCAGCCAGGGTTTTGTGGTAGGTACGAGTGTATGGTATATTTTCTGTTCATTTTTATTTATTTAAGAGCGGAGCACCACAGGGCAGCCGCGGCGACGGCTCTGACCAGAGCAATTTGTTTTGATTGAATGAAATATCAAAAACGTGACCTGGACCCCGTGCACTTTGAGCAAACCAGCAAACCGAAAGCAAAAGAAACCAATATATATATTATTCAGGTAATAATTCAGGTAGATAGACAGCTATATTATATAGAGAGAGAGATGGATGGATGGAAATGCAGAGCAAAATTCACCGACTAAATGAAATGTATGCAAATTGAGCGTGAATAACCGCTTTAACCTCCGAGCACGTGCGAGTGATTGAGCTTAGAGCAAGGGAGGGTGGTTAGAAGGAGAGGGCTTATATACAATCGTGGACATAAGTATTTTGACACAGATTATGGGTATATTCCAGCGCGTGTCTCTTTGTACTCGTAAAAGTTACGGGATCCATTTCACTTTCCAGTAAGAGATTATATTTAAATCTTTAAAAGAGCAAAAGATGACACGGATAAGTAAATTAACTTCTTTGCTATGTCCCGTGATGTGAGAGATCATGCATTTTTGGGTGGACAAAAATATTTTGACATTGCATTCAATTAGCTCTCATTTGTTTCGTGCGCATAAAATACAGTTTATTATTATTTATAACTCGAGCTCATACATTTTTTAGCAGCTTTAATATATTTTTTGTAAATTTTCCTAATTTCTGTACCGTTATTTAATGAAAATATGGGTAAAGCACGGCAGCTAAGCCAAATCCAGCAAAACAAAATAGTAATTAAGTACCAAGCAAGTATTTCGGTGCAGAACCTCAGCATATTTTATAAAATACCCCGTCAAACAAAATTAACAAACATAAACTGACAAATTCGACGAATAATTTAGTCAGAAAAGGACGACCATGCAAAACTACGCCTAGACAAGAACGTCTAATCTTTGCAAAATTTAAAGAACATGTCCTTATTAAACCAAACGAAGTTTCAATGGAAGTTAAAAACGATTATGATATTTTAATTAGTAAAAAAACAATTGAAATATTATTAAAAGAGGCTAACTTTGCTACTTTGTGGCCCGTCAGATACCTTTCATTTCACATAAAAATGAGTTGAAACGATTAGCCTATTAGGTCGCACTTTCTTGCGAATATTTTTTGGTAATCTGCAGTAAATTTATTTTTTTTTAACCATGGTACTCAAAAGGACTCTCATCGGTCCACAAAATTTTTTCCCAAAAGGACTTAGGCATGTTTAAAATTATTTGGCAAAGGCTAATCGTTTCAACTCATTTTTAGGTGAAATGAAAGGTATCTGACGGGCCACATTAGTAGCAAAGTTAGCCTTTTTAAGTCTTCTTTCAACTGTTTTTCTACTAATTTAAAAATCATAATCATTTTGAACTTCCATTGAAGCTGCTTTTGGTATAATAAGGACATTATCTTTAAATTTTGAAAGGATTACACGATCTTGCCTAGGCGTACTCTTGCAAGGTCGCCCTTTTCTGACTAAATTATACGTCGAAATTGTCAGTTTATTTTTGTTAATTAGGTAGTAAATGGTTTGTCGGGGTACTTTATAAAATAGTCTGAGGTTCTGGACCGAAATACCTGCTTGGTACTTAATTATTATTTCGTTTCGCTGGATTTGGCTTAGCTCCCGTGTTTTTCCCATATTTTCATTAAATAACGGTACAGAAATTAGGAAAATTGACAAAAAAATGTATTAAAGCTGCTAAAAGATTTATAAGTTGGAGTTATAAATAACAAACAACGTCCTTTAATGCGCACGAAACAAATAAGAACTGATTGAATGCAATGTCAAAATATTTTTGTCCACCCAAAAATTCATGATCTCTCACATAACGTGACATAGCAAAGAAGTCAATTTACATATCAGAAACATCTTTTGCTTTTTTTAAGTTTTAAATATAATCTCTTACTGGAAAGTGAAATGGATCCCGTAACTTTTACGAGTACAAAGAGACACGCGCTGGAATATAGCTATAAGCTGTGTCAAAATACTTATGTCCACGATTGTAGGTGGATAGAGAGGGGTAGAGTGGTTAGAGGGAGAGCCTAAAAAACATAGATAATTCCCCACCTATCTGTTTGAGACTGATGTTCATTGCCCGATAAGTACTCAATGATTAGTAATCGAAATGCTTCTCAATAACTCATCC